TGCCAACATCTCTTCCACCAATCAGATACTGCTTCTCTTCAGCTATGATGCGATCACGGAGATTGACAATATCGTCATATCCCGGTAGGAAGATGAGGATTGCACCTGCAACATTCCAAGAAGTATAGTTATGGATAAGTCACGACTCTCAGCTTCTTGTTATTCCAAACTTCAGGTTCAGTAATAAGAAAAAGAAAAAATCAATACCAGCTAATGATCTATAAAAAAAAAAAATCTTGGAGGGTGATTAGACTCTTTTGGCATATAGAAAGAAGCTTTTGCATTATTCCCATTGATAAATGAGTGTGGAATGTAGTGTCCATGAGCCATAACTGGAAGAGCGCTGGCTCCAGGGATGCCATTCCCACGCTCAGCATACCCAGGTTGCACTACAAAAACATTTATTACAAAGAAAAAAAAATCACTACAAACTTTTATTTTCATTGCATTAAGTTATGGACTACCTAGAGGTATATTATACAATCTGTGCAAGGAAAACAGTTTATTACCAAATGGATAAAGGAAATCAAATGACAAATATGGACTTTGGAAAGTGTCAAAAAAGTTAAAAATGCTTATGCATAAAAAGAGAAAATAACATTGCAAAGGGGAGGCATGGAGTCTTGTCACCGAACACAAAGTTTTTCACATGTGCCTAGCCTGTATCTATGTCAGTGTGACTGTCATGAAGCAACCAAATCCAAAGAGTTAAACTGCCACTCTTTAATACTCTACCCTTTCCCATTTACACAATAAAGAGTATGCCTTACCAGGGGGCTGAGATGTGTGAATCTTGTAACACAGAGCATACACCAGGTCTACATCAGCCACTTCCTCTGATACTGAGTGGTGGTATGCATCCAGCATTCGCTTTTCCTCTGGCGAGAGTTCAGTTAGGGGCACCACTGTTGAAGGACCTCTGATGACATTCCCATGATTTGAGGAGGAGCTGCTGCTTTGCATTCCCTTTCCTGAGATGGTTAGCAAGTCAACTCCCTCACAGGCACTTCAAAAAGGAGAGAGAATTTGGAATTAGTGCTGCTTATACAACTGGGCACTGGCAATGTACTTTGGAATTCAGCAACATTTTTGATATTGTATTGTAATAACTCTACTGCTATCACTAGCATGTTTCTGGTTGACCTCTGTGACCTGGCACTTGAGGATCCTCATGTTACCCATGTTACAGTATATGTATATTCCAATTAAGTTTTTGTTGGATATGTGCACTGACAGTTATATTAAGGGGAAGAGTCGTCAGTAAGATCACGAAATTCTTTATCCAGTCCTCCTTGCTTTAGTTTTTTAGCTAGGTCTTTAATTATCTTACACAATGTGCATGGATATGTGATGCTTGAGCACAAGAAATTTTATTTTAAAAGGCTGCGTAAATTTTTGCGCAGAAAAAAAAAAAGAAAAACATGCGAGATGATAGAATTCGAAAATTATGTAATAGTTTCCTTATAGTGAATAGTACTGCTGTTTCCTTCTGACCAGAGTTAGTCAACAAATAGGAGTACCAAATGTAGCATTTATGTAAATCTATCTGAAATGACAATGTTTCAGTTACCTTGCAAAAAAAAGTGCCTTTTTTTTCGTCAGAAAATCGCCATTAATTTTTTTTGTAAAAAAAATATTTGGATAAATGCATGACTTACCTACAGTTAATAGATAAGAACTGGACGATCATTTTGCAACAAGAATTATTAAAATCGCGTAATTACATACAAAGTTAATAGTACTATCATGCATGAAAATATGATTTTGAGAAAATCGCAGTTTTTGTCATTCATCTTCATTACACCATAAAGGTCATACCAATCATTACCAAATGTGACTATCTACTTAAACAATTCCTTGGCCTTTAATAGGAGTACTGTGGTAGAGGGTCAGGCCTTGTTCACGTAATTTTAGGTCATCTTTACGTAAAGGTTAAGTTAGGTTAGGTGGGAGTCTTCTCTGAAAAGTATACTTCCAGATGTCAAGGCTCCTGGTTCCCTGTCATTTACATATCATAATACATCATAAATCATCTATTATGCATTTCTTATTTATAAATGACACATTGCCAGGTTTTCAACAGGTTGAAAACAACACGTGTACTCCCGAAAACTTTATCAATCGCACTGTTCTCCCGTCCTTGCTGCTGCTGCCTGCCTGCTGAACGCAGCCTAAACTGTCATACAGCAGTATCATACCAAAGAAATTTGCAAAAACAGCCCAAAAAACGATGAAAATACAAGAAAAACAAAGCATGAAGCAAAAAGGGGTGTGACAGCACGAGGGCATTTCAACACTCCAGACATTTAAACCGCGGAAAGGAGCGCGTTACGCAACCGGCGCCCGGGGTGTGTCACATGCTCATCTATCCACACACAAAGTTTGAAAAAATTGTAATTTGTGACCTGTACTGACGACTCTTCACCTTAATGATATTTAGTTGGCAAATAAATCAAAACTTCACCACCACAAAGGCCACATATGACATCTGACATCTTATGGAGATTATATTCTATCAAAGAAAGTGTGTCAATAGTGAAATGTGCAAACAGATTATTAAACTGTATAAAACCTTGTGATGGAAATATAGGAGCCGTAAAAGAATGCAAGTTGAGGCTGATCATTTAGGATCAGATGATCTTGAGGCTAGTGAGAGTCCTACAGAGTTCTACATACTGAGAAATGGGAAAGGCTATGGAAGAAACTAGAAAAAAGGAATACTTGAAATGGTGTGATAAAAGTGATGATTCACATCTAATGTCTCTTAGCCCTCTGATGACAGTGAACAGTTCCTCAGCAACAGTTAATGAGCCTGCAATGATACTAGCTGTCTAGTCTTAAGAAATCATATTCACAAATATCTATGGGAATCCAGAGATGATGCAAATGTCAGTGTTCATGAATTTTCCAAACACTTTTTATATTGGAGAATTCATGATGAGCACTGGGACAAAATTATAGGAAAGCACATACATTTTGGAAATAGGTACTGCCACTCTCATCCAGCAAATGAGGCAGACCATGCATCCTGCTGGGAGTGCCCAGGCACAGGATGGGAGTGGAGGTTTCTAGTCCAGTTTGCATCCTAGAAGCTGCCATCCCAATGTTAGACCTGTGGGCTATAGAGAACCTCACAGGCAGACATTGGGCCCCACAGCTTGCAGCCCCCTTTTATATCCTCTTACTGACAAGCACAACTACAGCTCTCATGGAAAGCCTACCCTTCATGACGGTTACGTGAATGCACACCATGACTTACTCTAGCAAGCAAGCAGGCAGGGCCTGCTGTACACAGCAAATGCCCTTCCAGAAAGGCTAGACAGTTACCAGTAGTTGCTGGAATGAATGCCATACAGAAAATTCTGGCAATGTCAGTGAAAGGATATGGGGGCAATGTCAGTGTGGGTGGCAGAAGTGGCATCCACCCAGAGTGTCTGTCAGAGGTGTCAGGTAGGAACCAGGTAGGTCATCTCAAGTGCAATTGTCCCCATCTACAAGGGATAACGATAGCTATATCCAGCTGACTCCAACCTTTGGTAGTGGAGGTTAATTCAGCTGATGGGTGTATTATGGGAATGAGACTAAAGCATGCTTTTGGCTTCAAGTCTCTTACTGGTGGCAGAAAATTGTTCCTGGTGAGACAATCACATTCTACTTGGAGACTTCAATGTGGTATCCAGTTGTGATTGAGTTAGCTACAAGACATTGATTGGTCCGCATGGCTCAGGAGCTGATCCAAAAAGCAAGAATAGCCTCCTTCTCCAGGAATTCGTTATGTCCCAGAGATTGAGGATTTCTGGCTTGTAGTAGTAAATGACATTACATAAGGAAGTGATGACAGTACACTAGTTATAACGTCACTGATTTTTCTTTTCCACTCCCTCCGTTACACAGTCGCCCACCCTCCTGCCGCCTCATCTCATATGGGGAAGTGGACTCCCACATCCCAGCATGAGGTCATGGCATACCTTGGTATCAACGTGATAATGGTGATGTTGGATCTCCCCAACTATTGCAACTACTGGCCGACCAATCGTGTTCATATGTCATAAACTCATCGCTGAGGTCATGACCAGAGATCGGTTCGACCAATTGACGACTCACCTCCATTTCGTCCCCTTGGAGGAAGGAGCTCCACTCCCGGAGGACAGGATGTGGAAGCTCTAACCAGTCACAGACTTCCTAAATAACTTATTCTGGTCGATGATTGTCCCGGGGAAGGCCATCGCCATTGACAAATCATTATGGAAGTTCCGTATAAAGTTAGCTTTCAGGACCTACAACCTAACCAAGAGGGCAAGGTTCGGGTTGAAGGTTTATAAGCTCTGTGCCAGTACCAGCCCAGCTGCATGGTACAACTCTTGCTCCAATGGTGATGGAGACTGGCAGCTCTTTCCTTTGTTGCAGGCACACAGGACAAATGCGGTAGGGACAGCCCAGCTGAACAGGAAGTTCATGCCCAAGGACCTAAGTGTGAGGAGGAAGGGTGATGTCATCAGCAAGACAGGGTTGCTGGCCTTATTATGGAAGGACAACACTATCGCCATGCTGTCTACCGTCCATACCACTGCAATGTAAGGAGATAAGCCGTCAGTAGTAATGGATTACATCATCAGAATGAAGGGTGTCGACATTAGTGATCATATGGCGAGCTACTACCCCACAACTCGCCTTGCCTTGCCTCTGAACTCTTAGGGGATATCAGGGAAGGGGCCAACACAAACAGAGCCCACACTGCAATGCAACCACCCTTTGCAGTGAGACAGGCTCTGCAGCAGCAGCAGCACGCCATCAGTGAGATCCCCGACAGTAACAGACAGAGATGCCATTGGTGTTCCAACCATGGTCCTCCCAGGAGCAGCAGAAGCTTCTGTTACAACTGTGAAATGGCCTTATGCACCTATGGGTGCTTTGAGGCATGGCATGCCACACAATAGTGCTACCAGCCTAAAATAATATATATTTTTTTTTAATCTCTGATTTACCCTCACCATATTTTGGCACATGTGTTACTGGAAGAAACATACATGGCATCATTAGGGAATCTGGAATCCATACTAAAAAATCAGTGTTGAGACTGCATCTTACCTTATAAGCATGCAAACCATTGTGTTCGTTTCCCAGAACGGTAAACTTTGATAAACTCCCATGACTATAAAAGGGGCATAAGATCATGGCTTGTGCTCCGATTTGTTCACCTGTGGTGCGTGGCCACCCATAGGTCCCCAGCAGTGGCCACACGATGGCATAGATACTGTCCAGAAATGAGGTTTATTGCACTCTGAAAAAACTGTCACTAGTGGGTTAAGAGTTTAACAAGGTAGTAAGATCATTTGAGACAAACAAACTCTTACCTATAGGCATGCAGCAAATCAAGGGTCTCCTGCTGTCCTGTTGACTGAGCCCAGTCAGCTGCAGTCCAGTCGTTTGCTGCACGCAAGGTGAGAGAAGAGCCTAAGGCAAGCAACTGCTCCACTATGTCGACACGACCACGGCCAGAGGCTACCATAAGTGCTGTTGCCCAGGTTTCAGAGTGCTAAAATGCAAGAAGAAAATTCCATATACAGCATTTGAGTTATGTCTATGCTTTTGTACCATTGCAAACAGTTGGAGATTAAGAGGTGATCAGTGTACATTTATAAATGTGTTGCTTTCAAAAATAATACAAGTTTCTCTGCACTACCTGCAGTGGGGATGGGGGTAAATGCAGAGGTCATGGAACTGAGTAAATAAATAGAAGTGAATGTAATACAGAAAAAAAAAAAAATGAAAAGAGTGTAGTGGAATCAAGGGATGGGAGAAAATCAAATACAGTGGGTCAGTAGTTAGCAGGACAGCAAGCCCCCAGGTGACCTAACCAGACACCATAAAAGCTAGAGACTCAAAAACTACAAGACTAAGGAGCAGTGAAAGGTATTCTAAATCTGAAAACAGTTTTGACTGTAATGTAATTAGAGCAATTTCTTTGTTGCAAGTATGGTGGGAAAACTGCAATCAATGCAAAAATGTTTACTTGAAAAATAAAAAAGGAGATTTATGCACAGTTCATGAACATATAACATAAATATGGGTAATCAAATAAATCTACAGCAGAACTGCAGCTGATGCAGAGAAATAATAATCCTGACAATTTTGGTTGCAGGCCAGGGTGACAGGAATGCTTTGCCACAGATGCACAAAGCTCTTGGAGGGTAGCTAGACTCAGAGGGCATTTAGGAAGGGGCTTTCGCATTATTTCTGTTGATAAACAAATGTGGAATGTACCATCGAATGGCAAATATGAACACTGGAGAATGGGGAAAAAAAAGAAAAAAAAAGCTCATACATAACAAAAGAAAATAACATTGCAAAGGAATGGCATAGTCTTGTCACCAGTACTACTGTGCACCCAGCCAAGAAGCCCCATACCCATCAGAGTGGCTGCTCAAGTAAGCCTAACACTCATATTTTAGGCCCCACAATGGGCAGTGAAGCTATTAACCCAGTGTCCATGGATAAAAATATTTGGCAAGTGGACATACTAACGGGATTGTTGGCACACATCGGCAGTTTCCCCTGTTTGCGCCCGGCTTGATTGGTAGTTTGTGAGTGTTATTGTTGGCACTGGGCAACTGCGAGGAATATCCTTAGATATGGCATCTACTTGAGTGAGCAAAGTGAAGATGACCGGAGGAACTACCCAGTGGATCAGCTGGTGGGTTACATCTACCCTGCTCTGACTGGTCAGTGGAATAAAGCAAATGCTCTTTTCAAGCCACCTGTTCTCAGTGGCAAGGTGACCATCACACCCAAGCTCAAGGTGGTCTGGCATCAGGCAGTGATGTTTTCTTTTGGAAAAGGCAAACTTGATGCAAAAGAATGGTTCATGGTAAAGTAAGATTTGATTTGCAAGTGTCATAACCAATTGTGGGGAAGAAGGCTGTGAGGGCTGTGTGAACCAAGCCCACATTAACTGTTTCTGCAGCAGAGAGAAAAAGATTCCTGTTAAAGAGCTTGCCTACATCAAGGGAAAGTGAAGGTTGGAAGTATAGGTCCCCACCAAATGGGGGGCCCTGATCTGCCAGAGCACAAGAGAAGGTGAAGACATTGGATAAGCAGGAGATGGAAAGTAAGGCAAAGAAAAGGAAATGGAGCAAGGTGGAAAATTCTGCAGCAAAGAGATGGCAGCCACAAAGGATATTGAGAGATTTTTGGCAGATGGTGATGAGGATCTGGAATTGGAGAATTGGTGCCGAAGACTAGTTTGTCCCTTAAGTTGAGCATTTCCTTGAAACTGACCCTGAACCTGCAACTTCAACAAAGGTACAGAAAAACTATGATGAGATTCCAAATATTGCTCTTGCTAGTGTTAGGTATGGCATAGGGCTAAGGCCACCTGCAGCCAGAGCAACTGCAGCCCTAATTGATGCAGGAATCAGCACAGAAGACGACACAAGGAAATTGATTAATAAGAACAAGGTCAAGAGAGCACAGGAGAAGTTGATGAGAGAGCTGGGGTAAGAGTTTGAGGAAAAGTGCAGGGACGAGGGGGGAATCTCCTGTATCCTATTTGATGGGCTAGACACTGTGAAAAGATCTGCTTGGTAGGCCCACAGTGAAGCCCTCATCCAAACATTGTTGTGCTCTGAGGATCAGAAGGAGAGAATTAAGGAAGTGGAAAGAATCCTGGCTATCAGGGGAGAGGGGGACCCAGGCACTCAGTCTGGGGACTCCTCGGTCAAGACCAGAAGGACACCTGACATCAATTGTCATGCTTCCAGCATTGGTGACTTGATCAGCTGGTCAGAGGATGTGTCAGAGCCACCTCTCACCTGTTCCCTGCACACCTCAGAGGTAAACAACTTGATCAATATCCCCATGAAGGTGCCCAACTGGCCTTGCCACACACAAAGCATTGAGAGGGTTGTCAAAATGGTGCTTGAGGCTTCTGCCAAATATTTCTCGCAGGAAAAGAGGGATGGAGGGATCAGGGCTCATGAGACCAGCAGATTGATGTCCATCAATGAGTCAAAGCAGGACTTGTGCAACCTGACAACGTTCAAGAAGTCAGGAGATTGATCTTTGTAGTTGTATCCAGAGATATAGTGTCCATGGTGTTCACTTGTTAAAACATATGTAGATTTGAATTGATTTGTCCATTCATTTCCATTTGATCTTCTTATATCTTGTAAAGGAGTTCGAAAGAGAAATTTTAGTTATTTGAATACAAAAATGATGTAGGTTAGAGTGACCCTATCAAAAAAATAAACTCATATTTGAATTCCCCAGTAAAAAATACATAATTCAGACACCCCTCATGTTAAGTTTCCTTCATATTCATGTTGGCACCTGAGTATGGCCCGCCCTATTACTATATGAAAGTGACTTTAACCCCTAGCCAACGGGTGGCATGTACATACATGCCATGGCTGTTGTGGACCGAAAGACAGCATCGTGTCATGCCAATTCCCGCGCCACTGGCTCGTCAGACAGAGTTTGTTTTTCTCCGATAGTGACGGCTTCATTTACATGGTAAAGATTTTAGGCAATGGCATCTATAATGAAGGTAAACCTTCAAAATTTTAATATTTTTATAAATTATAGCAAAATAAAAGTTTTTAGGTGCTAAATGTCGCTCGCAAACTACCAATCAAGCTGGGCGCAAACAGGGGAAACTGCCGATGCGCGCCAACAATCCCATTATTACGTCCACTTGCCAAACATCTTTACCTGTCGACACTGGGTTAAGGCTTAAAAACTGCATTTCAGCAACATCACTGCTCCTTGTCCTAATACACTCAATGTCCACCTCATGCTTCCTGGTATCCCCATTTGCAATCTCATCAACTGCTTCATTAAAGGTAGTGACTATGTTCAAAGGGATCCAGACAAATGTAATCACATGCCTGACCTTAAAACGTAGGAGCTATCAAACGACACTCTTCAACTATGTGGCCAAACACAAGATTCTTGCTAGTAAGTGAGCCAAATGCTCCCCTGCTGTCAACAAAAAAGTATGTATCTTTATCAATTATTTCAGTCTGTTAATGTGCTGTCAGTATTGTCCATAGTTCAGTTTGGATTGATGATGCAGGATTGCTCAGTCTTATCCTGTGCTTGTAGTGACCACTCCACTCTCAGTGAACTGTCAGATGATGACCACACCTAGCTCTGTTATCCTCCAGTACTGAACAATCACAAAATACATGAGCAATACCATGTCATGCTAAGACTATTCATTTTATGGCCATATGTTACTTTATTCATACAAATAGGATCTAAATCTATTCTATTATCCAATCATCTCATGATAGGCACTTTAGGAGATGTCTGATGAGAATTACAATAATCCTTCAATCTTTAACACTGGATGCTATTTCTAAGTTCCTTAATATATCCTCACTTGCATTGCCTACAAACAGATCTACTTTAGTTAAACTGCTAGCCTTATCTCTCACTAATTTCTTTCCACTGGCCCCTCTCCACATTAACTTGATGGACATAATTGCACTGATCTTGCTCAATCACTGTACAATACTTTGCAATACTGTCTCTGCTCTCATTATATCTATCCTGGTATTCCTTTGACATCAAAGGATAATTCACATAGCTTCATTCAGTATGGTTTCAAGTTTTAGGAGCTTCCCTTAACAAGCTTATGGAAAGTGTTAGTGCTGCATAATCCACAAAAGCTTATTTTGTAATAATGTAGATTAGTCTCAGTACATCTACTTCAGCTCCTATTCTGCAACAAACAAATGCTCTGAGCAGCTGTAATTGTTTTACACTTGGTCAGTATCTTTCACCTTAGCATCTTTACTTAAGGCAGTAAAGCCAATGTACATCCCAGATATTTCTATGTCAATATCTTCTCCACCAATTTCTTTTAACATGTCTCACATTACCCCTTTGTTTGCTCTGAAACTATGAACTTCACTGATAACCAACCCTAATACTTGAGCAAGTTTACTAAGGTTATTCAGCACCTTCTGTAAACAATGCTGTGTAGTCCCTTGTATCA